TTTCTCAGGCCTTTGGGATTGATGGTTGTTTGCAGAGCAGTTGACCAGGGGAGGAGCCGGGGTGGGAGAGAGGATGATGTCATAGAGTGGATGAGGTCATCATAATGCAGGCCCCTTTGAGGCCTTTCTCAGAGGCCCTGAGTCCTTCTCCCCTATGATGGCCTCAACTTGCCAAGTCAGGTATCCTGCCAGGACCTAGAGCCCAGGGCTCAGAGCTCAGAAGACTCAGGGTTAGGCCGCAGCTTCCACCTGGAACTTTGAAACCTCAGTTCCAGGCTTCCTTTGGAATGTTAGAGCCAGTTTGGGTGGGGCAATAGGGAGTGGTTTGTGTAGGGGAGATATGGGGGTAGCAGGGGAAGGGAAGAGATCATCTAGAAGAATCCTCACATTTTATAGTGGGGAGAACTGAGGCCCAGAGAATAGAAGGGACTTGCCCAAAAATCAGCCAGCTGGAAACAGCGGGGCTTGGAACTCAAGCCATCTGTAACTTAGTACTCTTAATACCCTTCCAGGAAGCTCCTGACTACTCAGCTTTCCCCAGTCTCTGATTCTCTGGCCTTGAAGTACCTTTTTCTGCCAAGGCTCCTGGACATCGAGAAGAAATCTCTGTTCTTTGGCTTCTGATCTTTGTGGCCATGGATGCAGTTCTTCAAAATAGAAGGAGAGGTGGAGGCGACTCTGGGGATGCAAGTTAGCCACACACCAGGGGACAGAGGGCCTTTATAGCCCTGCTTATTTCAGTTCCAGGGCAAACTGGTATGTTCTCTCCACATTTCCAAGTGTCTAGCTGTAAAATGTGGGGTCATGGTGGGTCAGCTTTTCTCCATCAAGTGTGGACCTGGACAATTTGCTTAGCCTCTCTAAGCCTCAGTTTCCTCATCTGGGAAATGGGAATAGTAGCACGGGCTTCTAAAATTTGTATGACTTAGTGGTAAGCACAGCGTTTGGAGGGTAGTAAACGCTAGCTGCCATTTCCTTATTCATGACGAGTTCTCCCAGCGCCGGCGCCCCTGGCGCTCCATTCACAAATACTTGCGTCGCTGTCTGATGGTGGTTGAGAGTGGCCGTGGAATCCCTCGCGTCCGGGCTGGGTGGGCTTCCTGAGCCAACTCCGGCCACTGGGTGGGGCTGGAGCTCCAGGCGCTGGAGCTCACCGCCTCCCCACTGGGCACCGCCCAGTCCCTTTTCAAAATGAGAAAGAGCAGTGGGGTGTCCTCGTTTCCGCTTATTTTCCGCGAGCGAGCGGGCGGGTCCCCAGCTTGGCAGACCTTCAGAACTAGCCCAGCCAACAAGTCCCCTGCAAACACACACCTGTCCCCACTTTACAGATGGGGTCACTGAGCTCTGGCGGGGTTGAGCTCCTACTGGAGAGGAGCCATCTCCGGATCTCTGGCGTCAGCTGGGAAGTCCCTGACCCCTCTGAACCCGGCTAGAGAGCGGGAGTCCACAGGCTCCACCAGCTGTGGCTCCTGCGGGTGTTCCCTGCCCTCTGGCTGGTGTGGGGCTCCGGGAATTCCTGCGGCGCATCTGTGGGCCTGCAGCACCGGAAGAGC